TGACTCCGGGAAATAATGAGTAAAGGTCCAAATTTAGGGTCAGCAGAATCAGAAGCTGCTAGGAAGTTCACGACGACTTTAACGCAGCATTAGATAGTTTGGTGGAGAGGTGCGCCTACAAAAATAATATTCCTACTACCGGTTTCTATGATTTCAAAAATCGAATTGTAACACTCCTTCACTGGCGCAGCGCACAACTAAATCATAACAACTCATACGCAAATCACCGGATAAGTCAAGCAATTAGAGTTCTACACCGTGACTATGTGGTCACAACAATCGATAAAGCTCCCAACAACTACATTATTACATGCAAGAAGTTCTATGCTATGTTACGTTGCGAGGAACTAGGAATAACTGATTCGGGTGAGGTAATCCTCTATCCTCTCCTAATCTAATTTACCCATCTACGATTTCTTTCCTTTCCCTTTTCTCAGTCAACAGCTTCCAATTCATCTGTCTGGCGCCTTTTGGACCATCATCACCGGAAAGGAGGAACAATCCTTCACTTCCCGGACTATATCCTTTAGGCTGCATATAGACCCTCATTTTCGTTGCTCTGGGTGTTGGTCTCGTCTACAATCAGAAGTATGCATCTTTCTGCATCTTCCATCCTTCAATCCGATTCTTCTCGTCTACGCCCTCTCACCCACCGACTGACGCCAGGGGTAGTTCATTACAACTCTTCCTCATCCTAACACTCCCTAACATCTATGATTAAACCGATTTACTGGAATCATTACAAATAATAAATGCAGTTCAGGCGGTAAACGAAGTAAATTAAATCATAAATTTTCTAGCAAAACCGCAGTCGCGGCTGCTGCCATTTTTCGTTCCTTAACTTCCAGCAGCTACTAGACATGTGTCCAACAAAATGTCGATTTGCTCCCGAATGCATGCGCCCTGTAAATAGGAGAACACTGCAGTTGAGTTGAGTGGGGCAATCTTGTCCTCTTTAAACACGCGTAAAACTTTGAAAAAAATACCTGCAAATGGTCGCTACGTATTCTAAATACAGCACTTTCCAAAATGTCCTGAATACTTCAGTCTCCAAAATATACCAAATACTCCAGCCTCAGAATATCCCAAATACGTCACTGCATCGAAGCAGCCAGCCTGATATGAAAGTAATGAGGATTCTAGCATCCGTCAGCGCAGCAACACACCAACTGTAGTCTTATTTAGTTGCTTTCCATACGGTTCAAGTCACTCTCGGCATCGCTTCCCGTGCTGCCCTGTTTCTTCCGACAGGACACGTTGAAAAATACTTCATGAGATATAGAACTGTTCTATAAGAAACTCCTCGGAAATTAAGGGAAACTATTTTGTATAAGGACCTGAGCTTTCGGCACGCTGTGCAGATTTCAACTTACCAGTACTGACTGCGCATTCAAACGCTGAGTTTACTAATGATTCATTGATATGCTGTGAAACAGTTACGTCGGGCGATTGACATCGCCCATGCTGCTCGGCACCAAACATGGAATACCCTTAACGCACAGCCAACTGTTCAGGCGTCATCAGTCTGCTTAATATCCTAACA